ATTAGGAATGACAGGCATCCCTCCGCTGGTCAGACAGGGCCTGATCGGCTACACAGGCTAAGCAAAGGACTGAACAGGATTAACTGTTCATAATGAAACAACACCAGATAACCGCTCCATATACAGGGGCGTAAGGGGGGTCCCCAGAAAAATGATACCGGCCATCCCTGGAGGGGGTGGCAGTGCCCTATGTGATGCTCTCAGGTCCCACTGTCCCTAGCAACACCAGGGTGTGGAAAAACCAAGAGGGGATGCCCGATCAGCTTGTCGAGGACACATAACAGTCAGGACTCTAATAAAACACCCCAACTTGGTATCTTCATAATTTGCAAACTAAGAATATAGCAACAGACATATATACATACATAAACAAATATAAATCATATATATAAATGCCATGTCAATACATATGATCAATTCACTGAATAGCATCCATTTCAATTGCAATGGCATATCCTGTCCAAAACAAGATAATTAAATACAACATCATTTGTATCTTTATGTCTTTATAATTAAACCAAGATACAGTTTTGTGAGTAAATGGTTCCAGGAGCCTAGCCCCATCTCAGCCCGTCATAGACTTTCAAATGTTATAATGTTTTTATCATCAATTTGCAGTTCGTTCCACCATTCTAGTGGTATAGGGATGGTTTAATGTTGCCCAAAGTGCTCGAAGTTGGTCAATTTTATTTGGTATGTTTAAGAGGTCTCCTTTGGTGGATTCAGAAGTACCATACAAGATCAGATTAACATAATTTGAACCTATGGGTGGGTTTTTATTTAATATGGTCCTTATACAGCAGTGGTTCTCAACCTCGGGACCCCGTCGGGAGTCGAATGGCGATTTGCCAGGGGTCGCCTAGCGGCTTCCAGCCACCCAGGAGAGAAGCGCTTTCTCTGCTCTTTTTTTTTTTCTGACATCGGGCCCGCCATCAGTCAAACGTTCTCATCGAGCAGACTAAACCTTTCCAGGAGAAAGTTTTGTTTTTTTCCCCCCGACAGGGTTAAAAAAGTAAACCTGCCGCACCGTGTGCACAGTGAGAGGGGATAGCAGTCTTCCCCTCTCACCTGTCACAGAAGTTCCAGCACAGTGCTGTGCTAGGACTCCTGTATTGGAGGTGACAGGGTCAATAAAGAGAACCTGTCGCCTCCAATTGCTATTACACAGGGGCTTGTTGCCTCTGTGTGATAGCAATGAACTGGAAAAAAAATAGATAAAAAAATTATTAAAGAAATAAAAATAAAAGAATAAAAAAATAAAAAAGCGATTAAAAAGAAATAAGAAACAAATGATTAAAAAATAAGTAAATTATAAAAAATAAACAATAATAAGGTGAGAGTCCTCCTCAGCCCTCTCCTAGCGCAGCAGTGTCAGTTCTTCCGCCACGCCGCCAGATGTCGCTGCAGCAGCCGCGTCATCCCTAAATTTTACCGTTGGTGGTCACCACAACTTGGCAAATGTTACCAAGGGGTCCCGGCCCTAGAAAGGTTGAGAACCACTGTTATACAGGGTTAAATAAGTGGTCTAATGTTGCCCAAAGGGCCCAAAACATTTCTCACACCTATATCTATATGAGCTAGTAGCAGCCCATCATGGACCTTTAAATGTTGTGAAGCCATTAGTAAAGGATAATTTGCAGTCGTATTAGTTCCTTGGGGGGTCTCTATGGTTTTGTTGTTTTATTGATGTCATATTGTCTGGTCAAAAGTAGCCACTATATTCCAGAGGTCCACTCCTATGAATTCGGAGGTACAGTGCAATGTCAGTTGGAGCCTGGTCCTAAGGGAGGTACATGATCTAGTTGATCTAGTCATTACAGGGTGTTTTATATAGACTTTGCAAGGTGTTTTATATAGACCACCCAGTATTTTATATACTCTTTGCAAGGTGTTTTATAAAGACCCCCCAATATTGCCCAAAGGGCCGAGGTATTTCCCCTACCTGTCTCCATGGGTTGAATCAACCACCTAAAGGATGTTACACAGGGCAGAGAATCTGGTTTCTCCTTTGTGTTTGATCGATCAGCAAGGGGGGTCATAGAAAGGGTATGAAACTGAGAGTTTCATTTAGCCCAGGTGACTGTGTAGCCCGTAGCGTATAAATCCACCCTGTCTCTCTTTGGAGTACTTTTTTGTCCCAGTCACCCCCACGTGTATCCTCTACTATGCACTCCAAGCCGAAAAAAGATAAAACGGTTGGATCGAAGTTATGGTACAGGCCAACATGGCGACTAATTGGCGTTGTCATCTTGCCATTAGATGTTAAATACACATGATCCTGAATACGCTTTGAGAAGGGCCTGATAGTTTTCCCCACATAAAATGCGCCGCATTGACAGGTCATAAGATAAACAACCCCCCTAGTTTGACAATCAATACGGTCCCTAGGGGACCATGGTTGGCCATTAGGGAGTTTGATAGATCTGCCTTGTGTAATGAATTTACAAAAAATGCAGTGCTCACATTTGAAAGTTCCCATGTGGGCTGTTTCTCTTGCCTTTGTCTCTAGATGGTGGCTATGTACTAGCTGGTCCTGTAGGGACCTGGGGCGACGGTATACAATCTCCGGTTGGGCTCTTATATACTTAGAAACTATAGGGTCTTGTGATAGCAGATGCCAGTGTTTGTCTAAAATCTGTTTGACTTGATTAAATTGCTTGGAATAGCGGGTAATTACTTTAACTGTTGGCATTTGTTGCCTCGCCTGTTGTTTGTTGGACGTATAAATTCGTTTCTCCCGGGTTTGTAGCTTGGCCCTTTGGTATGCTTGTTTCAAAACCCGTCTACTATACCCCCTTGCGCATAAGCGATCCCTAAGCTTCGCCGCCTCTTCCTCAAAGAGGTGTTCCAAGGAGCATACCCGTCTCAGCCGTAAATACTGGCTGTAGGGTATGCTCCTTTTTAGCGGGATCGGGTGTGCGCTGGTTGCGTGCAGGATAGTGTTTCCTGCCGATTCTTTTCTGTAGAGGCCCGTGAAAATTGAGCCATCGTCGTCGACTCCCAACTTGACATCTAAAGGTGCCCATACACTGCTCGATTCTCGTACGAGAAGCGGGCGAAATCCCGCGATCGTACGAAAATCGAGCAGTGTGAACTAAGACGTGCAACCGTTTCTACTGTACGGTCGCACGTCTTTTGTGGAGCCAACATGCTTGAAAACCAGCCGAGAATCGTACGATTCTCGGCGGGTTTCTAGCCTGCTAGCCTGATAGCTGCGTAACGGGCCGGTGTGCGCACTGCCTGTTCTGCATTGCCGTCATCGGAAGCCCGCCCCTCAGCCGGGCGGGCTTCCGATGATCGCAAGTACGATCTGCCCGTCCAAGTTGGGCAGATCGTACGGGCTTTTAATGAGCATACGACCATCGCAAGACCAAAGTCTTGCGATGGTCGTAAGGTGTATGGGCACCTTAAGAATGGGATAGATTTCTGGTGACATTGCATGGTAAATTTTAGATTAACCCCTTCATGACTGAGCTTGTTTTTGGTTTCTGTTCGTAAATGACTGACACACTTTTGACATTTTTGCTGTGTGATTCTTTCACGTCAGTAATATACTTTCTTACAAAGTGCACCGATACATATTATATATTGTTTTTTAGAGGACAGATAGGGCTATATATTTATATAACATACATGTGTCTAATGCCTCACTTAGGACAAATAAAATATAAAAAAATAGGAAAAAAAACGTAAAAAAAAACACTTTTTTCCCAGTTTTGATTTGTAGTATTTTTTTAACAAAACCAGCACAGCTAAAAAAAAATGCAATACATACATTCATTTATTTGTCCCTTATTTTTTTACACTTTTTTTTTTACACTTTTCACTTTTTTTTTAAACTTAAAAATGTTATTTTATTTATTTAATTATATCAAGCAGTCATTGTGAATTAATCTCACTATTACTGCTTGATAAATTAATACATTTTTGGTTATTATCAGGCTGCTTCAAACTTCAGAACAGCCGATAATAAGTTAGTGACACTGATCCTGCAGCAGTTCAGGATTCAGCGGTCACTGAATGTTTCAGAAAACTGAAACATTCTACTTTCAAGAATAGATACATTATGTGTCTATTTCTGAAAGTCAAAGATAAAAAAAAAAGCCAGTATAGCTTGAGAGAGATATCTCTCTCGATCTATATGAGCTGTCAGAATGCCGGCAAAAGCCGGCATGTGTGTCCGCTCTGCTGTGACTCTCAGACACCCGATATTAGGGTATCGGGTGTCTGAAAAAGGTTAACCCTTTCATTAATGGATGCCTAGATAGTTAGACATCCATTACTGAATGGTAACCGCTGATTCTCAGCGGTTACCAGCCTTCTAGTGCAGCAAATAACTTGTCACGTACAGTGTACGTGACAAGTCATTTGGTCCCTTTGTGGCGGGGCGTACAGTGTACGTCTCCCGTTACGAAGGGGTTAAAGTTGTTTTGCTGCAGAAATGAGACAAACATCTCCAGTTCCTCTTTGGAACCTATCCAGATCATAAAGATATCATCTATATATCTTAGCCATGTGAGGATGTATTCTGAGTATCCATGGGCGTCTAAGGAGTGGAATAATTCACACTCCCACCCCCCCCCAGATACAGGTTGGTTGTATCTGGAGGTAGTAGGAGCCGTTGAAAGTAAAGACATTGTGTGTCAAGATGAATAGTAACAAGTCCAGTATAAAGTTGTTATATAAGATAGATGAATTGGTTCTTTCCTCCAAGAACTGTCTGATGGTTTGTATGCCTTTGGAATGGGGGATGCTGCTATATAGCGCCTCTACGTCGATTGTGACCAGCCAGGAGTCAGGCGGAATCATGATTCCATCTATACTTTTTAGAAGATCAGATGTGTCCTTTAAATACAAGGGTAAGGCAATCACATGGGGTCTTAGATAGTCATCGATCATCCGACTGGCCAATTCAGTGAGGCATCATTACAAACTATGTAATACAAAAATAGCAATGTTGCTAAAATCCCACAATTTACAGGAAATCTTTCTACTTTCAGAATCAAACTCCACTGAAGATAATTTAACATTCATTAAAACAGCAGGGGATAGCAGGGAATTTCCACAGCCATGGCCAACATGCACAGCACAGGAGGAGATGCTCAATTTGGGCTTTACAATTGGTTCCTTTTTACTAAGTGCAACGACTCTACCCTTGGGTATACTGATGGATCGTTATGGGCCTCGTCCACTGAGATTAGTGGGAAGGTGAGTGTTTTACAACAGTTTAATTATAAATTTAAACAGATTGGTGATTCTTAATAGTGGGTTTTATTCTATTATCCAAACTAAAGTTAGAACTTTACCCTTATGTTTAAAATGACAACAAAGACCCTTTTAGAAATGTTTAGTAATGACAATCTACAGAGAGATACGTATAGATAATTGCAGACTTTCTATTCTTTGCATAACCTATTCTTATTTTCCTCCCTATTCATCTCACAGTGGCCATTTTTTTTTTTACTAAGGGCAGATTAATCCATCTCCCTTTTGCTTCCTGAATCTCTGGTACATGTGACTAGGACATGTGACCATGCACATCATTTCAGGGGGAAAATGTCTTTCCCTGAGATATTGCGAGATTTTGCAGTTTACAGATCAGTTTTCCAAGCAATGCACTGCTGATGTAGCCTTCCCAGGCTGCATCTCTTAGGCATGGGCTACATCACTTTTGTCTAAGAGGACCAGGAAGTGGAAAAACAGTAATTGTAAGTAAAAAGAAAAATAGGTGTATTTAACTAATTAATGTAACTAAGATAATGGGAGCCGCCCACGGGCTCTTGCTGTCCACAATTATGCCTTGCTGTGTCATCTGTTCCAACATCTGCTTGACTTCTTGATAAAAGGTGTGTAGGTATGCTTCTGTTCCGTTTCTGGATGGGTGGACTCTCCTACTCAATCTCATTGCTACAGCCCAGGTCAAAATTCCCCTGTGAAAACACCTCTGACCACTTATCCATTAATCGCCTTACCGCTTCCGCATTAGCAGGTGACGGTTCTCAGTGGACAGCTGTATGAGTGGTAGTATCTGCTATCCTGCCCATGCTTGGTCTGTTCCTGCTGACCATTTGGCAATGTTCACTTTAGCTACATAGTGTCATCCACAGAATTTCAGGAGCTCTATGTGGTCCACCTTAGAAGCAATCATGCCTGTAATCAGGGCCATTTCCGCCACTGGGGGCAGACGAAGTGGAATAGTCATGCTGTTACACATCCTGTCTAGCACGTTGCCTTGCCGAACTACTGTGAGGGTTCTAGCAACAATAGGGGTTATACCTAAGGGTAAGGGTTCCAGTATGACTGGGACACCTTGCAGTCAATGGCACGATCCGACATTCATGGGAAGTACAAACTCTTGGCAGGGAGGTGTTACGATTTCAATCCCAAAGGGAACCCTTACAATGCCAGCTTTTTCCTTGATGTTTGCTGTACTGATTATATTGCTGACGTTCAGAAATATAGTATTGTCTTTTGGGCACTAGATGGCCCTGTGGTGCAAAGCTAGTCTGTATGTTAGGTTTCTATATGTATGCTTATGTCTATGGTAGATATGTTTCCTGTTTGATGCTGTCTTCCTGTATACATGTATGCAGCATTCTTATAAGCAAGTAAAACTTAATTCGGCATTCCTCAAGATCTCAGTTATTCCTCTAAACACATAACCAAAAGGTTATGGGCCCAGACACTAAACAGAAAACTGCAAGTCAACAAGTGCTGCATCCAAGCTGCTGAAAGATTCAGCAGTTCAGATATAAGGTTTGCAATCGCAATGGAGCGTAAACCAACTGGGCGAGGCCATTGGAGCACGGCTGCTAATTTCTGTGGGTCCATGGAAAACCCCTTGTCTGAGATAACATATCTGAGGAATGTGACTTGGACTTGATGAAACTCACACTTTTCGAGTTTACAAAATAGGCCATTCTCCCGCAGACGTTGGAGTACTCGGGCTACATCAGCCTGATGGTTAGCCAGTGAGGGAGAATGGATGAGTATATCATCAAGATACACTACAAACACATTGTTAAAGCATATCGCACAACACATCGTTTATGAATTCCTGGAAGACAGCCGGAGCATTGCATAACCCGAAGTGCATTACCAGGTACTCATAGTGGCCACTTTGGGTATTGAATGTTGTCTTCCATTCATGGCCTTCTTTAATACGGACCAAATTATAGGCTCCCCTTAGGTCCAGTTTTGTGAAGATCTTAGAACCCTTGAGTCAAAGAGTTCAATGATAAGAGGTATCGGATACGCATTCTTAACGGTAATACGATTGAGCCCTCTATAATCAATGCATGGTCGAAGCTCCCCTCCCTTCTTTTGACGAAAAAGAATCCGGCCCCAGTCTGAGACATACTCTTCCATCGCTTTGTACTCCGCAACTGAGCGAGGATACACTCTACCATGAGGAGGGACAGACCCAGGGATAAGATCAATGGCACAGTCATACAGTCTGTGAGGAGGAAGAGTACTGGCCCGAACCTTATCAAACAGATCCGAGAACTCCCTGTACTCTTCAGGCAATTCGGAGACAGAAGCAGTACATAGGAATCTCGTGGGTCTTCACAAACATTTGGCAGAACATAGATAAGACCAGGACAAAATCTCAGACCTTCCCCAATCGAGCTTGGGATTATGGGTCTGGAGCCACGGATAACCCAGAACCACCGGAAAGTGCGGGGAGGAGATCACCTGGAACTGGATCGTCTCATATGTAAAGCCCTTACAGCCATGGTAAGTGGAGCGGTCTGGAGGGTGATGAGTGCAGGCTGTAAGGGTCTGCCATCAATGGCCTCAATAGCCAACGGAGTGGTACAAAGTTGTGTGGGTATCAGACTCCAAGAGACAAAAGAAGCATCAATAAACATACCCGCAGCACCGGAGTCAGAGCTAAAGTAACTGAGGAGTCTGCCCATGAGAGTACCACAGTGACCAGATGCTTCTCTTTAAGGAGCCCTGGGGTCAAGGAAACCTCACCTAAGATCCGACCCCTATGGAGTCTTAGGTACAAGCGTTTCCCGGCCATGTGAGACATGACCACAAAAGATGACCTGCGAGGCCGCAGTAGAGACATAGCCCCTCCCATCTCCTAAAGGCCCTATCAGCCTTGGACAAACATGTAACTCCCAGTTGCATGGGTTCAATATCTCCAGTAGACAACTCACCAGATGGTGAGGATGGAGAGGGAGGTGTGGGAGGGGAGGAAAACGAGGGAGCCAACTTGTTAAGAGGCCTACGCAGGCGCTCTTTAAACGAGGTCTCTCACGGAATCTGGCGTCAATGAGAATCAGGAATGACACTAGCTCCTCCAGATCGCTAGGCAATTCCTTAGCAGCCACTTCATTCTTGATATTATCGGAGAGCCCATGGAAGAAGGCTGCCACCAGTGCCTCATTATGCCAACCTACCTCTACTGCTAGGTTACGGAATCGTATGGCATACTCGGCTACAGTTCTCATATGTCCATCCTGCCGGATGGACATAAGCTGTTTAGCAGCAGAGAGGGATCGAGCTGGCACATTAAATAACCATCTGAAGGAGGCCACAAATTCTGGGTAGTTGAAAATAATGGTGCGGATTAGCGGATTAGCCCAGGCTAATGCTTTATCCGTCAATAAGGATATCAAGAACCCGGCCTTCGCCCTGTCATCAGGAAATGCCTGCGGAACCAACTCAAAATAGATTCCCACCTAGTTCAGGAATCCAAGGCAATGATTGCGGTCACCCCCTTGGCGTTGGGGTAAGCGAGCTTGACCCGACATGCCCCTTCCAGGGGTAGGTTTAGGAGCAACGGAAGGACCAGCAGGGGTAGTGGCAGGGCCCAGAGGCGAAACATTAGCTGGGCCAAATGAGCCATGTGAGAGAGCAGGGTCTGCAGGGCATGAGCAAACCGCTCCATTCTTTGATCCTGCGAATCAAGCCTGGTAAAAATAGTCTGCAATGTAGGGGGACTAGGGTTTACACTAGCACCACCCGGATTTATGGCCTTTGCATAATGTCAGAGCTCAATGAAAACCAGACAAGCAAAAGGTCCTAGTTAAAATATTTATAACGAACATTGTCTACAGGAGCACGCAGAATTATAAACCGGAAAAAGCCAGAGTCAGGAGCCGGAGTGTGTAGTCATTCAAGCCAGGTCAGGAACACAGGAATCAGCGTAGTCAGAAACAAGCCAGGAGCAGGAGCCAAGAAATCAGCGTTGTCACGAACAAGCCAGGAGCAGGAGCCAGAGGAGAACGTCAGCCAGGATCTTGGTCATACACAGAATCAGGATACTCAGAGCAGCAGGAATGCACTAGCAGGAAGACCACGCAAGGGCAAGGTCAGACTGGACTGAGTGGTTCATATATAGTGAGTGGGGTGACATCATCACTCAGAGACAGGAAACTCCCATCTGACACGTTCAGATTATGCTCTCCTGTCTGGCCATAAGAGGGAGCCTAGGAGTAGTGAGCAACGTTCCAGAGTCTGCTTAGGCAAATAAGGAAACACAGGTGAGTGAAATGGCAGCCAAGCCAGAATGCTGCAAACCAGTAAAGTCAGGGTGGAACCTTGACACTAGGCAGCCTTGCATAGTCATAGAGTGCGCTTATTAACGCTTTAGAAACCAGACCTGATCAGGAACGGACACTAGAATACGCCAAAGGAAAATGAATCGATGAATATGGCAGAAGGAAAGAAAATATGCATAATAAAGAAAAAAAAAAGCCCTTAAGATGCAGGAGAGCGCAAAGCAAAACAAAGAAAGCAGAGCGTGTTTTTGCTGTAAAAAGAGTGGTCATCTCAAAAAGGACTGTTCAATCTGTAAATCAGAGCAGAGAAATAGAGAGGCACCTAAAAGAGAAAGAGCTAAGGCAGCCACATAGGAAACTGCAGGCACATCATGGAGAGCTACTTTTAAAGTGATTCAGAACAGTATACCACGCAGATGGTATACACAACAGAAATTGATTTCAGTGCAAAGGACAAAGTCTTCCTAGCAAATGGGTAAAGTATTACTACAGAAGGTAAAGGTCAAGGATTCTTGAACTGTATCCACCTTCAGGGGACAAGCAGAGTATCCTTGTGAAAAATTGACTGTATGTTCCAGACCTAGAAGGAAGCCTTCTATCAGTGTAAACCCTTGCTAATAATAGTTTCATAGTTCAATAGTTCAATTCAGAGGTGATGAATGTACAATCCGAAACAATAAGCAAATCCTCGCA